GCCTCCGTACAGTTAGTGAAAGTAAACCAGCCCTTGCATACAGGGTACAGTGATGGGTTAATGCTTTACAGTTTGTCACAAATCTCAGTGCACTGTGATACGCAGCATCTAACTTGACCAGGCAATTGGCAGGTGCATTCATATACATCAAATCACCATAGTCCAGCACAGGTAAAAAGGTCACAGTGACTAGCCTTTTCCTGGCCTCAAGCGAGAAACAGGACTTGTTCCTGTAGAAGAAACCCAGCCTAACCCTCAGCTTTTTAAGCAGGTTATGGACATGAAGTTTAAAAGTGAGACAATCATCAAGCCAGATACCAAGGTATTTGTAACAGGTAACCACTTCTAGTTGTATTCCTTGCGTAGTTACAATATCTAAAACAGGCTCTGGTGTCTTTTTAGCTTTAGAAAAGAGCATTACCTTGGTTTTCTCAACATTTAAAAGAAGCTTTAGTTCAGAGAGCTGAGTCTGAATAATGTTAAAAACAGCCTGTAATTTAACACCAGCCTCCTCAATGGAGGGACCTGCACAGTACATCACGGTATCATCCGCATAAAAATGTAAAGTAGCTTCATCCACATTTTCACCTAAACTGTTGATGTAGATGGAGAATAAAAGTGGATCTAAAACAGAACCTTGGGGAACACCATTAGTGATGTTCAACCACTCAGAAGACAGCCCATCAAAATGAACACATTGGGACCTTTCAGAGAGGTAGTTTACAAACCACCCCACTGCATGGCTGGACATGCCTATACTGGCTAGCCTCTGCTTTAAAATGTGATGATCGATGGTGTCAAACGCTTTTGAAAGGTCAATAAATAGAGCTGCACAACACTGCTTATTATCTAAAATACTCGCCACATCATTCACTACTTTCATTGTGGCAGTGATGGTGCTGTGTTGCTTTCTGAAGCCTGACTGATGTTTAGACAGGATGTCATTCGTACATAAAAACACCTTTACCTGTTCACTCACTAAGCGTTCAAGAACCTTAGCCAGAACTGACAACTTAGAGATTGGCCTATAGTTATTTAATAAGGTGGCCTCCCCTCCTTTTAGCAAAGGCAGGACATACGCTGACTTCCACAATTTTGGAATTGTGTTATGAGGGAGAGGTTAAAAAGAGTAGTGAGAGTTGGAGCAATAAAATCTGCAGCTATCTTTAAAAAGAAAGGTTCTACGTTGTCCGGGCCAGCCGGTTTCTTAGGATCTAACTTGGTTAAGACTTCACGAACAACATCAACAGTAAAAGGGGTAAAACTAAAAGGGTTTTCCAACACACGTTTTTCAGAGTCACATACTGTAGTGTTCACAGAAGCAGAGTTAGTGACAGAATCAAATAGAGAACCACAGGACACAAAATGCTCATTAAAGCAATTTAGCATAGTAGCCCTGTCCGATATAGTGCCAGATGCTGTGGTAATGCACGGAGGTAGCTCATTACGGATATCGTCGGTGGATATCGATTTAATGGCTTTCCAACATTTTCCAGGATTATTCAGATTCTTTGTGGTAACTGACAGATAGTACTTTGATTTAGCACTTTTGATATGTGAAGTGAAGCTATTTCTTAGCTGCCTAAAACGCAGCCATTCTACCTCTGAGCCTGATTTCCTAGCCTTTGCCCAGGCCTTGTTTCTATCATGAAGGAGACTGGACAGATTAGCAGAAAACCAAGGATTGTCTCGTCCCTTTACTCTAAATGTACGCAGGGGTGCATGTCTATCAATGATCTCCATAAAACCAAGATAAAAATAAGACCATGCGGTTTCTACATCAGCACACAGATCGATTTTACCCCAATCAAAATCAAACAGATCATGCACAAAACCCTGCTCCACAAAATGTTTGTTGTCTCTCTTAATGATAATACGAGGTTTAACCTTCTGGACCTTAGTGTCCCTAATTGTGGCTACAGCACAGTGATCACTCAGATCATTTGCAAATACTCCCACAGATGAATATTTATGGGGAATATTAGTTAAAATTAGATCAATTAGGGAGGATTTATTAGGGGACTTAATGTTAGGGCGAGTAGGACTGTCCACAATCTGAGTAACATTTAAAAGAGATACAAAGGTTTTTAAAATCCTCTGACACTGCAGTTAACCAGTCCCAGTTAAAATCTCCAAGTAGCACTATTTCCTTGTAGTCTAGTTGTGATAAAATATTTGCTAGTGAAGACAAGGAGTCTTTGACAGCTGAGGGGGGTCTGTAACAACTCACTACCATGACCTGTTGCCCCTTTGCCACTTCTATATTTATGGCTAAAAATTCAAATTGCTTACTGATCTATTTGGAAACTAATGTGGATACACTGAACTTATTCTTAACATAAATGGCAACGCCACCACCTTTATTAGGCCGGTCGGTACGATACACATTAAAACCATTTAAGGCAATGTCAGAGGCCAAAATAGATTTGTTTAGCCATGTTTCTGATAAGACAATGACGTCAGCGTCAGTTGAGCTCGCCCAGATACGGACAAAATCTAGTTTACCTAATAGACTGCGCACATTCAAGTGGATGAAACCCAACCCAGATCTAGCTTTAAAATCAGCAGGAGTAGCGATCTGACTACTACTACTGGGCGGACCAGGGTTAGGTTGTACATTTCCTGACAACAACAAATAATAACAACAAAAAAAACAGGCACCTTTTCCTCTTAAACGACACACATACATTGTCATCTAATTTAGAAACACCGGAAAAGTCTGCGAGAGTGTGATTTGAGCTTAAGAAGCAGTCCTGAAGAACCATCATCGCAGGAAAACAAAAAAGACAAACATATTTTGTCGAGCAGATTGTCTGTGACAAGGCAACCGGTAATTGTTTGAGCAACACATCCGAACCTTTGCAGGGGATGCCCACTGCGGGTGGCAGAACAGACCTGAATCCAGTAGACTTCTCAGAATGACTAGAGATCTTCTCATAGTCCAAAACAGTTAACAGTGTACAGCAGCACACGCCCGGTGGAAGCAGGCCAAGCCTGAAGCGTGGATCCACTCCGTCTCTCCGCGACGACTCCGGGGTAAAAACCTCTCCAGTACAGCCGTATTCTACAGGTGGGAGCAGGCCTCCGTAGATCGCAGATCGCAGGTAGCAACAGGTGGAGCCGCTCCGTCTCTTCGCGACGAGCAGGCCTCCGTAAATCGCAGATCTTATGCAGCAACAGGTGGAGCCGCTCCGTCTCTTCGCGACGTCTCCGGAGGAAAAACACCTCAGTGTTACTCAACAATTAAAAATAGAACAAATCTAGCAGGAGCACCTGCAACTTGCTGCATGCACGGTACACGTTATTATGTCATTCTTATGTAGAAAAGTTAAGGAAAAACTCTGCATGTGTTAACAGCCATCATTATTTACTGGGTTATATATTCCCATAAACAACGTCATTGCTTTTTTTTTTCTCAGGGGAAATGTTTAGTTGTGAGCTGGAGACATTCAGCCACATCACCTGACACAGATCTTTCAGTATTCTCTTTTTTCAAACCAATGCATGGAGCAATAAAATACGTTATGACCCATATATCAAATTGCCTTTCAGCAGCAACATCCACAATTGATTGGAATACAAGCGAAGGCAAAGCGCTTGCTTACGCTGCTCTTTGGAGCGTAGCCAGGGAAATGTCTTCTCTGAACGAACGCACTGGGAAAGAATTCCTGAGGCGGTACAGTGATATAGCAAGGCACTCGACTAATCCTGGAAAAAATACACGGCCAGGCAACACTGATACATCTTTACATGTTCATCATGATTAGAGACATTGTCTTCTACATTGTGTGTCTGCAGTATGATCAGTTCAATCAGGTCCTGAGGGTGTCAAAATAAAGCAATACTGCCACACTGTCCCTCTCTTTTACTCCTTATTGTAGTTATATTATCTGGTAATAAAAAAAGGCTTGAGGTCAGCTGCGAGGTAGGTAATCCTATCACTGGTAGGTTTCCATTGTGAACATGTTAGTCATCTCGCACAGCAACAGTAGCAACAACACGTGTGAACGAAGGGGGAGGATTGTGACCTTGACAGCGTGTGTGTGTGCGTCTTGACAATATTGTGTGTGTGTGTGTCTTGACGATATCATTGGGGGCATGCACATATGTTTGAGTGTGTTTGTTGCATGGGGTAAGAGACGGTTTGTGGTTTACGGCTTGATAAGAATCATGCATGGAATGCCACTATCGTATATTTTAACACCACTTGCAAGCATACAGTAAGAGGAGGATGTAGTCATTATGAAGTCACCCATTGGTTTATGGACTGGAGTTTGGACGCCATCTAGGTTTTTCGGAACCAGACACAAGATGGTTTTAATATACTGAAAATAAATGATATTCACTTACATTGTTCAAAAGGATCAATTCTCTCATATTTAAGCTTGCAGATGAATTGTATGGCATACTTCAAGAGTAAAAATAAGATGAACACAGTCGCAAAATCAGCTGCTCTTCTGTCTCCAAACTGAACACCTCTGAATGAATCCAGCCATTTTGGAAAGCCTTTGATTGGTCAACAGGCACTCATATTTTATTCTAATATTGAATTAGAAGAATAAAAAACAAATCCCAGTATGCATTGCAAGATACAATCTGTTTATGTAACACATTGTCAGTTGTATTGGTTCATAAACTCTCTACAAAACACTATTTTCCCAAGATTAATAAAAGATTATCTCAAAAAGATACAAATTTGCTTCACCATATGCAAAAAAGACACTGAGCTCAACTATAGGTAATCATTTGTGTGAGAAGAAGAGTAATTTTTTCAGAGACTTCTATATAACTCAATTTCTTTTTTGGAAACAGAAAACATCCGTTGGCTTTAATTTCACAACTGGAAATGACAGTTTGCTTGCAATATCAAACAGATACCATACCACTTCTATTCTTCATATTTGTTCCACCCAAGGTGTAATGATGACCTATTTCTCTCTTCCTCCCATGGAAAGGGAACAGGAAAGTTTACCAAGTTTTCTCCTCTCCTCCTCTTCCAGATGGACCTCTGGAGATGCCCCTCTTCCAGCTTATCCCTTCCCAGAGACAGGTAGTTTTCCGTGGGGATCGTCTTCCCCTGCAGTGCACCGCTTCCTACCTGGACCCTTCGGTGGAGCTGCGATGGCGTCACAACCGCCGCATGGTGACCACGCATGAGGACCGGGGCATCTACGTGGAGGACACACTGATTCACGACTGCTGCCTGATCACAAGGTACATGCAGAGGAGGGAAGAGGGGAAGGCAAGGAGGGAGGATGGATGGGGCAATGTTAGCTGAGAGCTAGTAAACTGGTCTTTTGGATGTTTGTAAAGCCCCCCTTGCAGATAAAGCCACAAAATCACTTGCTCATCTGATGGTCCTGATTCCACAGTTGGGAAAAGTTGTTCTTCCGACTTCGGTGTAATCACATCATACAGAGTGCAGTAACAAGTCCTAAAACCAAGAAATAACTTTTAAATAAGCATTTATCCACTTCCAGATCCTTTCTCTCAAAGTCAATTGTTTTTTATCGTGTTTGTGGTTAGAAGCCTGAAATAACCTGTGGTTAAATCAAGCTGAACAGATTTCCATGTTTTGTTCTCCAATAATAGAATATGTAAGTAAATGTCTAAAGGTGTGTCATAAAAAAACGGTTGCATTAGCTTAGCGGTGGTTATATGCAGCCTTGCGAACGTGATGTAGGTTGTTTATAGTCATCGTTAGCTTTTACATTTTGGTTGCACAAAGTGGAGTGAATATGTGGAGATTATCCTGCTGAACAAAACGTGAAGTATCATGAATGTGTTTTTTGCCAGAAATCTTATTTTCTGCAATATACCGAAATCCAATGGGGAAGTCCCATTCCTTTGCCAAATTGCTAACATTCGGGTCAGCCTGCAAAAAGACGTCATCCCTGCACTATACTATTATCTTTTGAGTCATAATGTGGAAACATGGACACTAAAAAGTTATGTTGGGGTTTTTTTCTTAACATCATTGAAAAACACATTGATAGCGGTTTCAGATCTTAATTGAGATTTTGCTGTTAGGAGTTATTCATTCCAAATATTACGACAGCCCCTCATATGGCACAAGTCTTTCCAATCATTCAAAGTTAATGAAAGTGGAGGGAATTTGTGTATCCATCCAATCAGGGCCGGTTCTGACCAATTTGCTGCCCAAGGCAAGATTTTAGCTGGCGACAACAACAATCCTCGGTACCCTCTCTCCCTCTCACGCTCACTCACACTTTGTCTGTGAGCTGCGGGCGCCAGATAAGCCAACATCCCCCACTTTCATCACTTCCAGCGCCCATTTTACAGGCCAAATTAAACATGTAACCGGGGTGAAAAGGGTGTTACTTTTACTTAATTATGAATGTTGTTACATCAAGGCTGAAAATTAGGATGAGCGCAAGCAGTCAAACATTTGTTTCCCTCCCAGAGCTACCAGCGCAGCGCCACCCCAGATCTGGCGCCCTAGGCGACTGCGTATTTCGCATATGCCAAAAACCGGCCCTGCGTCCAATGATGAGGAGGCAGTAGTGTCAGTCAGTAGGGGCATGGCTTGTGAACAAAGAGTCGCCGATTGAAATCCGGATTGGACCAAATACACTGTGTAGACTGGTTGCTGGACACTCAGCTAAAGCACGTGCTTGTAGGTCTTGTTACTGCATGTGTGACCTATGTGTGTAAAGTAAATAACACCAGAGTGAAAAACTGAATTTCCCCTTCCCTAAGTATTACGAAAATGGGTTCGGTAGGTTTTCTGTGATCCGACAAACAAACAAACCTAACATAAAATCACCTCTTTGCTCGATAAAAATGTACATATGTTCATTTGCAGACAAAGAAGATCACAGATGTTCATCTATACACACGCTCACTGGTCACTGTAGGTACACACGGACACAGAGGCAGCATACACACACACAGTGGTCCCTTTCTGTATCCCTCACTCACTCATACGAGCTGTGCTTTACCTTTTGTTATTGGCGCCCTTGATAAGGATCAGAAAGGACAAGACAGAATTGGCTTGGCGACGTGCCAGCACCTCAGAGCAATCTGCGGCTCGTCTCCAGAGGTTGGCCATCCAGCCCCCACCCCAGCGCTGGCGCTAGCTGATCACACGCTAAGAGGAATAGATGCTGAATCATAATTGCGGCGATAAAGTAGACTGGCAGCACTGTTTCCGCACTGGTTTCTGATAGAAGAGGGAATAGCAAGCATCCATCCTCTTCCTGTCTTTATTTTTGTAACCCTCCTGTAGTGTTTGGGTAAAACCTGACCGTTTTACAACTTTTATCAATGATAAATATTGTGTTTTACATTTTATTGCTTCAAGGACTTATGATATCCTCCACATGTGATCATATCAAAATGCTGATAACCACTTTAATCGAATTTGAGTGGTTAAGAGAACTTTGTTACAGCTATGGTGTTCCCGTTCAAAAGTGACCGCCATAGGAAATGAAGGGGTAACCCATTGTGTTCATCCATCAGATAGTACACTCCCACAAATCGACAATATGTTAATTTTGGAATACATTTTCAGTGTCTATTTAGAGACACTGTTTACAGCTTAAAAGGGTGTTAAATACAAATTGGTGATGATGAATGGTTTTTGTGTTGCCGTTGAAACAGACAAATACAATGATGCGAGTTTAGGTAACACTGTATATGCAGAACTTTTATTAATAATGCTGTGTTTTTATGCTGTGCAACTTTAAATGAATATGTGTGTAGAATTTGACTTTGGCATACATAGTGGCGGTATCAAAAAAGACACAGACGGTGAAAAACTAAAATACATCGTTCATTAAACAGAAGTACATGGTGCGACCCCAGCCCATGCAGTCATCACCTCGATGTCCTTCGGCCAGATACTTAACCCTAAATTGCATTTGGCACTGCAGTGCTCTGTATGAATGAGGTGTGAATGGGTGAATGACCTGTACTATGTGAAGTGCTTTGAGGTGTCGCATTTACCTGATAAAGTGCTATATAAGTACAATCCCTTTACCATTTACAGATGTAGCACCTCATTTTGCGCGTCCCTACCACAGTGGGGCCGTGTTCGGCACGGAGTCGATCCTCGCTGAAAGGAAAACCCCCCACATGGTGTAGTGCAGGGGTGGCCAACCCGCGGCTCTCGAGCCGCATGCGGCTCTTTGCCTAGTTTCATGCGGCTCTTCAGTTCATATCGAATTGTATAGCCTATGTGTGAGTTTGGGGGAGAGACACTGACTCCTGACTAGTGTTGCACGGTGTACCGATACTTGAAAGGTACCGCGATACCCTGCCGTTAAAAACGTTACGATTCCTCCGTTTCATTAATATCGGTACTTTAAGAATGACGGGGAAAAGTACTCCGGTGAGAAAGCGCTGTTTTAATAAGAGCCGTGTGTGTTCAGCGCTCTGCTTTCACTCCCTGCACTGCAGCCGTGCCTGCAGTCCCGCCCCTCTCAAGCACGCTCTAAGTCCCTCCCCTCTCAAGCACGCTCTAAGTCCCTCCCCTCTCAAGCACGCTCTAAGTCCCTCCCCTCTCAAGCACACTCAAGTGCCTCCCCTCTCTCGTGCACGCGCTAGCTGCCAGAGCATGTGAGAAAACGAGAAGCAAGTGGGAGTGCAACTGCCGCTGCGCCTCGGCTTGTTGACAACAAAGACGCCAGAAGCGAAATTTGGAAGTATTTGAGCGATATCTCTGACAGTGAGGGCAAGCCTACGGACACCACGAGGCCCGTCTGTAAGAAATGTATTAATTGTATTTAATACAAATTATTGTCATTTATTTTATTTATTGTTCTCATTGTTAAAAAGAATCGGAATCGCAATTCTTGACTTGGTATCGAAACCAAAATGTTGGTATCGTGACAACACTAGCTACTCCTGACAGTTAAACCTGATATTTAGTAGGTCTGTTAAGTATTGAATGCTGATAATTCTGACGTAATTTGGCCGGTCAAAGTTGTTTGGGCTCTCCGTTACTTTCGTCCCGTGTTACTTTCGTCCCGTGTTACTTTCGTCCCGGCTCTCCCTACTTGTGTATGTGTGGTGTCAGGTGTCAGTATGAGAGGATGACAGCGTGTCTAATTTTGATGTGGCCCAAGAGCCAATCACAATAATACCTGCGATGCAGTGAACCAATTTGAGGGGGGGGGAAACCTATCGTTGATTAAACACTATCCAGTGTTTCCCGCCAACGGAGCCCCGCGCCCCCCCCCCTGAAATTCAAGGTGTTTAAAAAATATATATAATTTTTTTTTTTAAATATATATATAGCACCAAATTCCAAATAATCTATAACTACTGTCACTTTTCATATTGAACATGTGCTCTTTTATTAAATAAACTAAACGCTTTCATTTTAAGTTGTGAGTTTAGTGTTTTTGACCCTAAGAAACACTGATGCAATAATCAATAACAATAATCCACAGCTCCTCTCTCTGCTCCAGAGGATTTAAAAAATATATATCCCAATGCCACAAAGATGCATCAGTGACGTGGTTGAAATCTTGTCTCCAGAAAACAAAAAACTGAAACAAGCGGTATCAGTGACTGTGTGTTTGATGTGGCTCTTTGCAGAAACATAGAAAAAATGTGGCTCTTAACCTCTGACTGGTTGGCCAGCCCTGGCGTAGTGAATATGTTTCAGACTTGATACGCCCCGTTGATAAATGATAATGAAACCAACTGCAATGGATCATGGATCCACCAGGTGGAGCAGTGATTACAAAGCTGGAACTCATGTGAAATAAACAGCTGAAAGATTTTTCTCTGATTACTATAGCGGAGCTTTGTTAAGATCCATAGGTCACGGATAGGATCATATTCTGTGCTAAATAAGAGACATGTAATCATTTACAAAACATCACCATGTTTTTATTTAAAAAAATAATATTGTTTAATCCACGTTGGCGTACTACAATTACAAAAACAATCGGGTTTTTTTTTCATCAGTAAATGCAGCCTGGCTCAAACAAATGATTTTTAATCATCATGCTCACGATAATTTAATGTATCATATGTGCGCCGAATAGACATGAAAGCACCAACAAATATGAATTTGCTGTAGTCAACTTCATTAAAACTTTATTAACCTGCCTAAACTCAGTAATTCACTAAAAAGAGGTTTATTTTTAATGGAGCCTCTTCGTTTCACCATGGGCAAACAATAATATTTACTGTATTATTACTGTTTAATATTACTGATATAATAATCACACTTTGAGTTC